GGGCTTCCAGGTTGTCAAGTGGAATTGAAAAATAATGGTGTTCTCCCCATGAGAAGCTCACTCATACAGAGTGGGACAGGGAAGAGCAGGGAAGGGAGGGAACCATGGCATCAGTGAAGCTGTGAAATCCCCAGCTGTGCTCAAAGGTAGCAGGAGGACAGGGGAGGGTACTGCGAGAGATAGCCAGAGAGCCACTGTGTGTGAGAGAGAGAGAGAGAGAGAGAGAGAGAGCGAACTATGAGGGGGGCAGGCAAACAGTGAAGCCCTCTGAAGGCAAACAGTCTTGGTTCCAATTACAGCTTCATCCTCTCCAGGGGCACTTTGTTGGATATCTGTTTTATATTCTCTGAACCACGACTTCCTCATCTGAAAAATCAGGATAACAACAACACTCGGCTCAGGGTTATCCCATGATACCTATGTGAGATGCATATAAAGTAGAATATTGCCCAATTGTTTTTCTGTTTTGTTTTGTTTTTCAGAACAACTGACACCTATAGCAATGGGCTAAGTTACAGAAGAGGACAGAATTTAGTGGCAGGAACACTTAAATTCAAATCCCCATCTCCGAATTTTACCATTGGGAAGACTTTGGGAGCATACGCAGTAACCATCTCTAAGCCCTAGTCCTTTCATCTAGAAAATGAAGATCCTAATATTATCTCTTAAAAGTCTTCACTTATTATTTCATTCAACACAGACGTGGCTCTTTGCCTCATGCAGATTAGCTTTTAGTGGGAGGGACTGACAAAAGACCTATTAGTTACGGAGCCCTAGTGACTCAGTGGGTGAAGCATTGGGCTGCTGACCACAGGTCAGTGGTTCCAGCCCACAAGCTAAGTCAAGAAAAGAAAAATGAGGTTGTCTTCTCCTGTAAATATTTAAAATCTAGGACACCCAAAAAGCCAGTTCGACTCTGTCCTATAGGGCATTATCAGTTCGTTTTGACATCATGGCAGTGAGTGACTGAGTGGTTATAGAGCTGACCATCTCCCACTCACTCAATTCCATTTGACTTGCATGGTGATAACAAGTGGGCAGATGACAAGTCAATGGTTAATTAAATGGCAACGAATAACAACGCATATATTTTCAGCTAGAAGCCTACAGTATGAGTAAACCAAGCCAAACTCACTGCGGTCAAGTCGACGCTGACTCAGCTGAGCCCCTGTGAGTTTGCGAGACTGTCACTGGGTATGGGAGTGGAAACCCCAGTCTCTCTTCCGTGGAGCTGCTGGTGGTTTGAACTGCTGGCCATGCAGATCACCGCCCAACTCGTAAGCACTACACCACCAGAGTAGGAGCTGAATGACGCGGTGGAGAGATGTACAACACAGAAGGCATAACAAGAGCAAGTGGTTCTGCAAACCCAGTACAGTCCACAAACTGAAATTCAGACAGTGTAGATGTAGCCGGGTAGGTTAGCAATGAGATTAGATCAGGAAGTCAGTAGCAGACAGGGGCTGGATCTTGCTGTAGCTTTCAGGCTATATATAGTAAGAATTGGGAACTTTTCTAAGAGAAGACTGAGTCATGCAAACCTGTAGTAAAAACTAACACCCCCAAATCCCAAAATGGTTGCCATTGAGTCATATCTGATTCGTAGGGACCCGAAGAATATAGAATAGAACCCTGCTCCACGGGGCTATCAGGGGCACGTGAATCTCAGGTGGCTTCATATGGAAACGAGGCCCTAGACAGGAAGCTGTTGCTGTTGAGTTGATGGCTGCTGGTGGTGGTGGTGGTTGGAACTCATGTATTTGGAGCTGGCAGTCAAGTCTATGGATTTCAAATATGCACCAGAGGTATATTTAGCAGGACTTGGCAGTGGATTCGATGAAGAAGGGCATGACAAAGAAAAGGAAGAAAATCGACAAGGGTGAGTTGCAGGTTTCTGGTGAGTTCATCTGGGTGGACAGGGAGCCCTGCACCCGAGCAACTCAAGGAGGGTTGGTGAGCAGGGAGAGAGGGTGACATCAGCCATGCAGCTTGGCGTTGGTGGGTTTCGGAGGCTTTGGAAATACTGCAGATCTGAAGGAGGCAGGTGGAGACTATGTAACTTGGATAGACTGAGAGAAGGTGCTAATCACAGGCTGTGCCTTCGAATATGATACTTATCAAAGTTTCAAGTCCCACAAAATAGTGCAGCAAAGGAAAATATCCTCATTCCGAAGTGCAACTCTCTTTTCAAACATTTCCACATTTCCCCCTGACCTGCTTATGTTACTTTTATGCAAACAACAACAACAAAAACCAAAAAGAAATGGCCATATGCAAAGCAGTTTTGCCTGCATGTGTGGAATTATTTAATATGCCTTTTTGGAAAAGTGTGGAACACATTTGAAAGTTTGGAAAAATCTGTTTTCAATTCATTAATGTTGCCGTGTTTTTTGGGGCAAGAGGGTCTGCCTTTTATAACCAAATAAAAGGGACTAACTTAGACACAGCAAAAAAATGGGCTCTATTCTCAAGTGCAAAATGGAGAGGTGGAAGGGAGAAAATGCCAATTTATTGCAAAAGGATTGAGCCAAAAAAAATTGAAAAGCAAAATATATGATGTCCATCAGAAGCTGAAAACTCCCAAACCTGCCAGCAGCAGGAGGCTTTGGCTCGCGCTCTTGGACCAAGAGGTAACTTGCCCTGAGGAAATGTTGAAGGCACGTAACAAATAGGTTCTTCACACTCTTCCAAGGAGACCCCAGCGAGGTCCTCTCCATACAATCTCCCTGCAGCCAACCCTATTTACTTCCAAACCACACTTTCTACCTGCCATTTACGAAGGACAGAATCCAGTGGGGTCGTTTCTATATGGCCATAAGCCTGAGAAAGTCTCCTGAGCCTCTGGCTTGAGGGGTCCCAGGGTATTACTGGGGCGATTTTCCACTGAGAACCTGTTCGTTACCGGGAGCTTCCGGATAGCTGCCCAGAGGAGTCGCTTTATGCTCCAGATCCTTCATCATCGACCTGCTCCCTCCCGAAACACACAGGGACGTAAGCGTCCGTGCAAGGTGCTGACTTGCTCCTGAAGGTGTGTGGCTATGTTGGTGGTGACTTCTGAGACCTAGGTGGGTTGGTCATAGACTAGAGGCTGGCTCTAAGTGAGCCTCTAAACAAGGCACCAAGTCTGAAACAGAGACAGCTCTGTACCTGAGAAGAGGCACTACTGAGCAGGCTGCCTACATTATGAATACTAATCAATAGCCACAGCACTTGGAATTTGATAGTTATAAAAGTCATGGTGAAATTCTTCACCATCACCTTACTGGGAAGAAAGAAAGGGAGGAAGCAAGAGAACAGGTGGAGAGAGGGGTAGAAGGAGAGGGAGAAGGAAAGGGGGCAGGAGGGAAAGAAGGAAGGAAGGAAAGAAGGGAGAGAGGGAGGAGTGTTAATTTATGTCTATTTATCTGTATGGAAGATTCACCTTGGAATTTTTATAATGTCTTTACAAGAAATGAAAATGACTCCTTTGAAAACATTCTTTTCCCCCCTACATAGGGCGCATGTTTGCGCTTTCCCTCCTCTTACAGGTTGACAAGGAAGGGACCGTATGAGAAAAGAAAAGTTTTCTGAGAAATACTGTTAGAAGTAAATAAAGAATGCTGTAATCTCTTCAAAGGGCATAATCTCTCCTCTGTGTTACTCAGTCTGCTGGTTGCAGTCTAAAAACCAAAGTTATTAACATTCTTTTTTTTTTTGCTGGGGAGGACTCTCATGAAAGTCAGATTTATGATAAACCCATCTGGAGGGGGTATTTTTCTCCAGTTCATTATAGAATGTTACTTCAACACTGGTTACTTTTAGGACAGTGGTTTTAACTAATCAGATGACACAAGATGTGAACACTTACCTACGCTTTTTAAAACACTCTAAACGTTTTTAACCTGGGGAGTGAACATTTTAACTAGAGAGCTCCTACATCTTCGGACTAATTCCCTTTATGGAAACAAAAATAAAATAATCGCTAACCCATCCCAGCTGTTTGGCTAGAATTACCAATTACCTTCAATGCCTTAGAGATACTTTTCAGAATTTTACAAGTCTGCACAGTAAATTTTTAAACCAATTTTCTAAAAGAAGGGTGATACGATTTATATCCTTTTAGGCAGATGATGACGTAGTGCGCTTAAAAGAGCTTGAATATAAAATCAAGGTTTGACATAACTGGAGGGAAAAGGAAACAGGGGTTAAAAATAAAACACAACCCCCCAAAAGCTGTTTTTTTTTTTTTCCCACTCACTTATATGAGGTTTTGGAACGTGCTTCCTCCCTGCATTTGAATATGGGTGTGGTGGCTTGATGAGAATCCCAAAGGGACCAATCACAAAGCCTTGTGAGCAGAAGCAGAGGGTCTGTAAGGTCTCTGTGCCCCTGTCTCTAATTGCTCTGGAAAAGCTCTCGCCCTGCAGGAGGACCTGCAGTTTTTCTGAAGGATTCCAAGTTTCCAGAAAGAGACTTAATTGTGCGGCTTCCCAGCCCCTCTCTGCAGGCCACGTAAATAAAGGAGTTTAGGAAAGCGACAGCACTTTAAATAACCAGATTATGTGGAATCAATAGGAAGTGCTCGGGGAAGTTACTAAAGCAGTCGCTGAAGGAGAGTGAGTTACGGGCACCGGGGTGAGAGAGCAGGAGGGAGAGGTGTAGCTGACCTCTCCGGAGGACTAGGAATTGAGAGTTGGCTCTAAAGTTGTCTGAGTCTCTGCGAGGTACACACGGTGGGCGTGCCCAGCTGCTATCCCGAGGCTGATGGTTCGAATCCACCCAGAGGCACTTTGAAAGCAAGCGTTAGCGATCGACTTCTCAAATGCCAGCCACTAAGAGCCCTACGCACGGTTCTACTCGGACACCCAAGGGGTCTCCATGTTTCAGAATCAACCGGCTGGCAACTGGTTGGTTTTGATTTTCCGTCGGGTTACAAGTACAGCCGGCGCATGTGCCCGCCTGCCCCCGGGCTCGCCGCCCATCTCCATCGCGAGTAACGCTCTTTCTTCTTCCCTGAACAGACGAGTGTGCCTCGCTCATCCTCACCTGTCTGTTTTGCCAGTTTTGGGACTGCCTCTTGATGCTCCCGGACACGTGCGAAGCCGTGTGCACCAGCCTGTGCTGCCCCTCGCACAGGTACCACCGCCCGGCGGACGAGAACCGCTCCCGTGGCGACTGCGGCTGCAGCTGCGACTTGGACTGCAGCCTCTTCGAGTCGTGCCACGAGAGCGGCGAGTGTCTGGAGCTGGCCATGGAGATTTCGGAGATCTGCTACCGCTAGGCCCGGCCATCCGGACCGCAGGGAAAACTGCCTCCCAGACCGGGCGTCCACGGGCGGACATGTCCGCCCGGCCCACACAGCACAGCTCCGGGGCCACTATTGCCCGGGGAAGCTCTATTGTCCACGCAATGGGCTTATCCCAAATCTTACAACTGCTGACAACCCAAGTCCTTCCTGACCCTGGAGGAGCATGCCTTACATGCCTCTGAAAGACCGCAGGTGCAAGAGGTTTCTTTGACTAGCAAACAGCATGCTAGGCCACTGTGTGATTGCTCTGCTTGCATCCTGGGCTCCAGCTCATTCACAAATTCAGGACAAATTAGTGCATTCTCTCAGAATTGACATACATTAGCTCGTCTTCCTAATGGACTCATGCATAAACATTATTCATTGTTGGTGATTATTAATAATGTATTGTATAACATCATTTTGTAATTAAAAATTTATTTATACAGTCTCTTAAAATTCACTTATATGTACAGTTTAGGTAGGGAAGGGAATTAAATGAATTAGAAACCATGTTCCTGTAATTACAACAGATGTCTCTAAAATATCTCCAGTGAATTTTGAATACGGTGTGCTTTGAGAGAGGACTGTCATCCTCGACCGCGTTAGTCGATATCCATGACTATGTCATAACAAGCTATGCACGTTCTTAGTTTGTAACAGAAAGGTTTGTCTTTATCCTAATGAGCATGAATGGGAACGGTGTGCACGTCTCAAGGAAACGACCTCAGAACATCACGGCTTCCTTTTCCTCCTGGCTGTTTGTCAGGTCGAATGCGGGTATTAAAGAAGCAGGGCATTTCACAAAACTATCATGTGGATGGGCACCCGAAGAACATACCCATGCCTGCTGGTCCTGATCCAGCACAGTTTCCTAATACTGCATGTGCTTCCCAAACTAACATTGTTCCCCACCCCCCAATAATTATAAGAATTAAGAATTGTGTTGAATACTTCACATAGCTGAACATTTTGTAAGGATAGGCTATACATTTAGAAGTACTTTGCTACACAAATAAATTATTACAAACACTTTGGAGGGAAAGACTATCTAGGTTAACGTCAGTCACATTTGAATGTTTTTCTTTTAACGTTAGCTTATCCGTGCTTATGTGCACTCCTACAGGCACTAGCCAAATAGCTTCACATTCGTTTTACCTACACACTCCCTAGAGTTATCATTGAACAAAAAATTATAAAATATCAAAAACCGAAAAAAGAACAGAGAAGTGAGATGAAAGGAAGGGACTTTTTTTTAGCCCTACCCAAACAAAATGCCCGAAAGAGCTGGGATTTCACCTGGATTCAGCAACCTCAGGCCAAGCTGGTGTGTGTTTCAATTCTGTGCCACACAGGTAATTTTTCTATCCCTCAGTGATTTCCTCCAAACCCTGACACCTGTTCTTTTTGAAAGACTGTTGTTTGCTGCCCCTGGCAGAAGCCTTGCCTCCCTCTTGACGATCTCTCGACATCGCAGTGTAACCCTGGTCTGTGCTGCTTCACTCCTGATGGCACTCTCACGTTACCCAACAACCACAGAACCCGGGTGCACGCCCACACCTGAGGACCAGTGGGCTAGTCAGTCTTCTTTCCTGCAGCTCGAAGAGAAAACTCTGCATGCGCAGGCCTTACAGACTTAAGGAAAACAAGTACAACAAGAACAATTCACAAAGCTAACGTAGGCTCAGAGAGCAGGGAGGTACTTTGGGCTGTTCAGGCCAGTTTTCCCTTTTCCGCTAAGCATAAACAACGTTCCTTAAGAAGTGGAGAAACGTACCCAAGACTACCCGGTGGGTTAGCAGCAGAATCAGGAACTTGAAGGCACTGCTCTGTGCCTTTCTGCCTCTGACTCCAGCTGGCACCCAAGGGCCCAGCTGCTCCCATTGTTAAAAAAAGTACAATATTACTAGGCTAGCTTATAAATAGTGGCTACCTTGAACCTCATTGCTTCTCACTCTCCCTTTGCCACCCTGGCCCTTCTCCAAGGCCCACCCTCCCTCCTCCGCTCCCATGATCCACATAGTACAGAGTGGCAACTGCAGCGGAGTCTACAGGACTCTGTCCCAGTACCATGGTTCCTGGTGATATTGATCAAACACGCCACATTGTTACAGATTTTCATCTTCATCCCTTTCTTCTTTCTAATCTGCAAACCCTCACGTTTGTGAAAAGATCGTGCGTTTCACATGTGAATTGATTGCTTGTCAATTAGAGATGTAGGAATCACTCGCCAGGTCTTATTTTATAATGTGGTTGGAATCATGCTACCAGATGTCTTTCTGGCCTTGCTTTCCATGGTTTGTTAACTTGTTCCTCCCTTTCAGAACTCACCGTGCTTTAGCAAAGAAGGGCCGGTTCTACAAAGTGTGAAATCTCTTTCCTTTATGACCAATAATAAAACACCATCCTTTTTGCAAACATGAATGGCTCCTTCAATTGAATTCTTACACAATAAAACATCTGCTACTAGGAAAGTACAATTGCAGAGGTAAGGCCGATCAAAAAAGGGATGCGGTTATTGATTAAATACAAATATCAGCATTTGAGAAGGAGCAGGTATTTTCTGAAATGATGAAAGTCTTGGATTACAAATAAAGATAATGCTGTTCTTCAAGTTGGGACTACGAGGGAATGGAGGATTCCTATTTAAGGGAATGTACTAGAATAAAAGAGATTACAGAAGATTCAGCCTGTATTGAGACTTGGGAATGGGGTTTTCCACACAGCAATATACCAGACAGTTACACCTTGCTTTGCTCCGTGGGTTGTTATAAAACTATCTCGTCTCTAAAAGCCGACAAAATAGGGAGAGCAGCAAAGAATCAACGTCACGTTTAACTTGCTAATGAAATCTCCCCATTACATGAGTTGAGAGGCCTACCATATTAATTGCCAGTGCTGCACAATCAATGTTAGTAGAGTGAAAGTCACAGATACCTTTTCCCCCAAGGGGCTAAGAAAACAGGCAGGGAAACATTACAAAAAGGAAATAATCACTGGGGGTGGGGGGGTGAGTCTATCAGAGCTTTTTGTTCAATGATAAATGCATAAGTAGAAAAGGTTTGAAAAACACTAACGTATGTTTCTAAGTTCCATCTTCTCCAAAATAAAGCAAAAGACTAATAGGCTGAGTTAAGTGAAGTTATCTGTCTTAACTAAATGAAATTTTCTCATTGGACGCCAAGTTCCCCAAGCTACACAATGATGACCTCTGATGCCATGGAAATACCTAATGGTGCTCTTTGAAGATTGTTGAATCAGAACCTCAACCATGGCCTCATATGCGTCCCTGTGGGCTGTGTCAAAGGAGCGCAGGTTGCACAGTTGGTTACACGATGGACTGCCAACCTCCAGGTAAACAGTTCAAATGCATGAGCCACTCGAATGGAGAAAGATGAGGCTTTCTGCTCCCATATGTTTTAGAGCCTCAGCAACCTTAGGAAGCAGTTCTACTCTGCACCGTACAGTCGCTGTGAGTCAGAACTGGCTTGAAAGCAGTGAGTGTGGGATTTGGGTTTCAGCTAGAAAGGAGCGAGGGTGGCCCAGTAGGACAGATAGGTGTTGGGCTGCTAATTGCAAGGTCAGCAGTTCATATCCACCAATTGCTCCAATGTGGGGGACCTGGGGGTGGGGGGATGAGGCTGTATACTTTTATAAGGTTTTCCATCTCAGAAACCATATACATAAGGTCATGACGAGTCAGAATCCACTTGATGACAATGGGTTTTGATCTGGTTTGTGTAGGAAGGCAAAGCAGACAGCAGGTAGAATGATTTTCCAGTGATTCTCATCAAGATGTGTTTAAAACTATCTTATTGGGCTTCTGACATTTCAGTCCAGAGAGTAAAGAGGGAGTTGAAGAACCCGTGTTGGGGCAGGACCTGTATTATTATTTGGATCAAAGTGCCACCTTCTGGTCTACCGTATTGATATGAATCACAGACTTTGCCTCTACTTTTAAAGCACTGGTTTTCACCAGTGAACGATGTTGGCCTTTCCATGACATCCCCTAGGGCACAAGTGGCAATGCCTGCAGACATATTTGTCACAATTCCAGGGGTGGGGGTATGGGGTGATACTTTTCCAATGAGTAAAACCCAGGAATACTCCTAAATATCTGACAAACTACTGGCCAAGGTCCTCCCCTCAGCAAAGAGTAAGCATCACATCTCAATAGTGAAGCCTCTCCATTAACAATAATAAGAAACCATCACCTCATCTACCTGAAAAACTGTCAGCCTTGGCATTTCCACATGTAAGATTGGGAAAAAAATCCTAAATCATTGTGAAATGAATTGTGCGCGCACACACACACACACATTTTAAAATACTAAGCCCTTTACCTGTAAACATTATCCTGGCCAAAAAGAAGGTTTTTCTATTGTGGTGTTAACAAAAGTAATTCTAGACTAGGTTGGATCCCAAATCTAATCATTTCTGAATTATACAACAAGTAGAATAGACACTTAATACACATACACGGGGGAGTCATCACATGAAGACAGACAGTTGGCAGATGCATATGTAAGCCAGGAATACCTAGGATTTCTGGAAGCTGCTAGAAGCTGAAAGAACAAAGAAGAAACCCCCATAAGACCCATACCCTAAATTTAAAATTCTAGCCTCCCAAACTGTGAGAAAATAAATTTCTAATCTTTAAAATGAAAAAAAAAAAACCTGTTTAAAGGGTCACCATTCAAATTTGAATGTGAAGAATATGCATTTTGTATAAGCATATCCCAAATACAGCATGCAGCACACTTAAGCTTTAAAACTAGAACAAAATAAAATAAAAACATAAGAAACAACACAAACCCTGACGGATATAAAATTCAAATGTAATTGGGTATTTTTATTTGCTTAATCTAGCAACTTCAGTTCAAACACTCCAGATTTTGAGAGGGATCTATGGAAGCCAGGATCATTCAATTTCCCAAACTCAAAGGAAATAAGGGTTCTTTCCACATCTTTGGTTAAAGATGTGTATCGTGGGG